AAATAATGGGTTTTAGTGTGCAATTATAGGTTTTAATTTTGTATTTGTGTTGATTTAAAGTAAATCAAACTCCCCAAAAATGTATACAGCTTTTATTAACATTGGAATTTACTGTAGAAGCGGCCGCAGGGGGGAGAGCTTTAGGGTGCGTTCACACCTGCCTTATATAGTCCGGTTGAATCGAACCCTGGTGCATTTAGCCGCTTGGTGCGGTTCATTTGGGTCGGTGTGTGAACCATAGGTGTGAACACAATCCGATACCTCTTAAGTGAACTAAACAACCGGACTCTGGTCCGCTAAAATAGGTGGTCTCGGAGCGCTTGCTTGCGAACTCTGGAGCGGTTCATTGCTGGTGTGAACGCAGTCCGCACCAAAACTATAAGAGTAGTATTTACGTGTCACAAGAACGCGGATATCTTCAAAATCTTTAGCGAAAGAGTCTTTCAAGACATCCGCGGTTGTTTAGTTAAAGAGTGAAGCAGAATGAAGTGTTGAATAGTGTTGTGTAAAGTAAAAATTCTCCGTCAGCTATAGGCTACATAAAAGTAAGAACACCTGTCGTCGGTGAAACGCCCCTCCTTACTGCAGAACGTCTCTCATTATATGTTATATAATGTTTTTTTAACGGACGTTGTCTGATTATATAATCATATGCGCGGGCCGCTAGTGTCTGTTGATCTCCAGATTAACAGCAGCATGAGAATAACCTGCCGAAAGTGCCGATGCTCCATGGCGGAGGCTTCGGTAGAAATTGCCGGGATCTGCGTTTTTACCCTTAATGTCTGACCAATGGTTGAACAGCATTTTCGGGCACATGACTTGTGTTTAAAGTTTATAGTCCGTTTGAGTTTTGCCCGTGTGAACGCAAACCGAACCTTCTGAAAAATGAAACAATGTAACAAACTGTCGTCTGGTGCGCACCAGAAAACGGACTATTAGGTGTAAATGCACCCTTAGAGAGCTCTCTCCTGAAAGACTCAGAGGCTCTGATAATAGTATGAAATACTATATGACAGTAAAAAAAAGTTGTTCTTGTGTAAACAAGAATACAGTTTAAAAGGGGAGTGATTTGTAAAATATCCATAAATAAAAAGAAAATCTGCTTACAGTTCTGTTTCATATGAGAGATGTATCCATAGATCTCTTAATGTTGCTCTCAAAGTGCAGCAGATTGATGTTTTTAACTTCAATATTATAAAAATAAATCTTCCCGGGGGAGCATGCCCCCAGACCCCCTAGAGCAGGGATGGGCAACTTTGATGGTGGTGGGGGCCACATCATTGATGTACTGGCCACCAGGGGGCCGCAGATTCACTTGGAACACACACACACAAATTCCAAGTAATTATTAACAAATATACTAAGTCTGACATCTTCATTGACATTTTACAATCAATGGGAACATCCCCCCAAAATGGGAACATCCTCTAATAAGCTCACTAAACAAATATCAGTTCACAGAAATGTTATTTCATTTTTACAAGTGGCATGTTTGTATTGAACAGGTTATTAAACAGTGGAATAAAGCTATTTTTTAAACACACATTTTATTGGAAAGCACGGAAAATGTGTGTGTATTGAGATTAACCATTAAGATGACATAAACATGAAGTCATGAACACTAACCCAGACATTAGTTGTCTAACTTGAACCTAAAACACTTGTAGCCAGTCTCTGCATTCCCCTTATTCCACAATAAGGGGAATGTCAACACAGACACCTGTCAGCCCGCACTGCTGTTCCTCAGCGCCACTCCCCCTCCCTCCCGCTGAAATTATGAATGAAAAGCGTAGTAATCATAGATAACACGGCAGGGTCCGTGACAGTTTGTTTTCATCTGATTTCAAATAAACAAAGTCTTGGTTTAAGAATATTAAACTTGTTTCGCCAAATTCAGATGATAAATACAACTTTTAAGCTTGTAAAGGCATAATTACAAGAGGCAATTTAACGTCACAGCAGGCATAACAACAGCCGGTGTTTCTTGTGAGGTTTTCCCCGGGAAACAAACACAATACACACAAATGCGTCACAGATTATTTTTGCGGTATTTGAAATCATGTACGCAGCTCGCGACCTAACTAGGAGTCTAGTGGACGGTATCAGTACTACTACTACAAGTAAAAAAAAAAAATTAAAAAAAAATATTTTTTTTAAAATATTTTGTTATTTATTAATTACGTTGTTTATAAATTTATCTGAGGGCCGCAAAAAGAGGAGGTGGGGCCGCATGCGGCCCGCGGGCCGCCATTTGCCCATCCCTGCCCTAGAGGATGTTAGTGGACCACCCCCCACTTAAATCATGTTCAAATCAAGCGGCAAACTCTGGGGAAGAGCCGGGACGCCAATACGGAAGTGCCACACACTGCAGTTCATATATTGGCCGATAGGGACTGGCTGCAGAAAGGAGCAATTTCCATAGACCCCCATGTTAAAATGCCCAACTTTACAGCAGAAAAAAACATGTTTCTACCCATGGATGCAATAAATATTATTATGAATATAGTTAGGTTCCACCTTCATGATTATGGATCTGTGAGTGAATTGTTTTTCTAACACGACCCTTTTATTTATATTAGGTCTTAAAGTGTTTGCATAAATTAGGGCGTGGTCACATTGAGTGACGGCTCTGTCAAGTGACTGCTGCTGTTAGCTTCTTGTCTCTCTGCTAGCAGCTCCGTGAAGCTAGCTACAGGCCTGCTCAGCTCATCCAGGGAACACAACTTGAAGCCGGCCGTGGTTGTTTGTTCTTCATGCTTATATATCCAGAGCTGCCAAGTCTCACCCTTTGAGAGTGAGAGTCACGCAATGTAACCTCTTCACACGCCTCACGCCACACTTGCCATTTCACACGCTTTCCCCCCCTCTCACTACTTTATAATTATTTTTTTATTTAATGATATATTTCCATAACTTGTTGCTTGAGGTTTGCCGTAGTTCGAGTCAGGGATAGGGTGAGCCCGCCCTATTCTGCCCCCGATTGGCTGACCGAGAAAGGCACCACGTATACAAACCAATCAGAGGCAGCTTAGGGCGGGTCATTGCGTCTGGTCTCTATCCTATGAAGAACCCATTTTCATCTGAAGCGGGAGGTCAAACGGTAGGTAATCACTTCATTTTAATTTTACAAACACATAATATTTTTATCTGTATTAAGTCAACGGTGGGTCTGACTACGTGAGCGTTACACAAGCTGCTGGTGAGCAGTGTGGTATGGAGGACGGAACATGACTTAAGTATAAATAAATAAATGTATGAAGAAATACAGGAATAAATAAATAAATACGTAAATAAATAAATAAATACAGGAATAAATAAATACAGGAATAAATAAATGACGAAATAAATACAGAAATAAATAAATGTTGAAATGAATACACAAATAAATAAATAAAAGAATAAATGCATAAATAAATGCATAAATAAATATGGAAATAAATACATCAATGTATAAATAAATAAATAAAAGTCGAAAATAAAACAGAACACACGTTATTATATATCTTTCATTTATTTCTACATTTACGCAACATACATTTATTTATTTATGTATTTATGTGTCCGTATGCTAATGAGGTGGGCGGTCCTAACCTCAGTCTGAAGCAGGATTGGTTACAGGAGTGTGTGATCATTTCTGGCAGAGGGCTCTACTACTAACGCCTGGATAACCGCGCTGATTCGAATGCAGGAGCTTTACTGTTTAGCCCTTATCTTTATACATCCATGGTTTATCCACAGTTGTAAGGTTTATTTATGGATATTGATTTAAGAGCCATTGGAGATCATTTACGATCATTAGCGGACCATTTAGAGAACGGAGAACCAAAAGACTATGTCCAGTTTCGTGTGGAACGATGTATAGAGGACTTGGCTCAGCTCGACATGATGTGACTTGCCACAAATCTATTGCTTCTGCCTGGCTCCAACAATTGGCGAATCCTGCTTCAGACTGAGGTTAGGACCGCCCACCTCATTAGCATACGGACACATAAATACATAAATAAATAAATGTATGTCGCGTAAATGTAGAAATAAATGAAAGATATATAATAATAACGTGTGTTCTGTTTTATTTTCGACATTTATTTATTTATACATTGATGTATTTATTTCCATATTTATTTATGCATTTATTCTTTTATTTATTTATTTGTGTATTCATTTCAACATTTATTTATTTCTGTATTTATTTCGTCATTTATTTATTCCTGTATTTATTTATTTATTTACGTATTTATTTATTTATTCCTGTATTTATGTACGTAATTTATTTATTCCTGTATTTCTTCATACATTTATTTATTTATACTTAAGTCATGTTCCGTCCTCCATAGTGTGGCAGGTTGCTGCGGTGGGTTTAATAACAAACAACCGTGACTTATAGCCGTGTTAGTTAACATTTAAATCATCACGCGTGTGTGAGCTAATGGATGCTTGCTATGAGCTAAGGGAATTTACAGTACTGTACCTGTGTTGTTTGCATTTCTGTCTAATAAAAATATTCAATCAATCAAACAGTAACATGTAGCTATCTTTTAAGACTGGATCATTCATTCCTTAACTGTACTTCGATTTCTGTCTGATGTTTGTCTGTTAGTTTGAAAGTCTGAAAGATGTCAGATAAGAAGAAGAAGAAGCAGCAGAGAGATCTGCTGTTATTCTGGGCAATGGAGGGTCAACCACCCCCTGCCAAACTTGCCAGGTCAGAGGAAACAGTGGAGGAGGCTTTGGAACTCTCAGTGAATGACAGAGCGGAGGAACATGAGTGTCCAGAGGGCACAGAGAATGAGACTGCAGAGGAGACAGAAGATGATGATGTAGAAGAGATTAAGGCTCCAGAGGACACAGAGGATGAGACAGAAGAGCCAGCAGAGGAAACGGTGGAGATGAGAGTAGAAACAGGGAAAAAGCAGAGTGCTAAAAGTGGAGCACCTACAGGTGCACTTTTAAAAGGGAGTGGACAGCAGAATGGCCATTCATCACTATAGGCACCACCACCACCTCCTACTATTGGTGCTCTATATGCAGACATGAGAACAGCTGTGCCCATCAAGGAAAGGCAGATGTCATCAGGCATATGAAAAGCAAAGGGCATCGTGCCAAAGAACAGGCAATACAGTCAACAACCACGATTGCACCTTATTATGCCCCAGTCTCTGTTGGTGGCATGACAGCACAAGAGGCCAAGGTATATATTATGAACAGTGGCAGTGGCTGAATTGCACTTGTAGGTTATATCAGCATAAATAATAGTAAATGAAACAAACTGTCACAAATGCCTTGTCTAACATGTTAATTTGGACTGTTTTTATTTATGTTTATTGTTGTATGTAATTGTGTATTTCTAGGGACCTTGAGTCGGCAATAAATGCATTTATTCAATCCAAAAACACTTAATGTTTTATGGAATGTTTTTACATGATTTGCTCTTTGATGACCCCCTTTCTGTTGCAGACAAGGAGAGCTGAGGTAAAGGTGGCAGTGTCAATGGTCGAACACAATGTGCCGTTTGCAGTAGCAGATCACTTCAGCCCATTGCTAAAAGAATGCTTCAAAGATTCCCCTACTGCACAGAACTGTGCGCCCGCACAAAAACATTGTGCATAATAAATGAAGCAGTGGCCCCACATTTTAGAAAGGAACTGGTCATGAAGATGAGGACCAATCCTTTCACATTAATCACAGATGGATCAAATGATACAGGTCATTACACTTTCCACACTTTCCAGCACCCATTTTAGATATATTATTAACCACAGAACACACAAACAATTTCAGTCTGATGTGTACCTTAATATGACATATATGTACCATATCGTTGCAGGAAGAGAGAAGATGAACCCACTCACTGCGGGTATATGACAGTTCCACCAGTAAAGTTGTCCACAGGTTTCTGGATATGTGCCCCACCAGCGGGCCAAGCTGCGGCACAGCTGAAGTGATATACCAGAAGATGGACGAGGCCTTGCAAAAAAACGCCATACCATGGAGAAACTGTGTGAGTCTGTCTGTTGATAATGCACCTGTCAATACAGGAGCAAGAAATTCCATCGCATCCAGAATTCTTAAAGAACATGGCAGCATCTACATCCATGGGTGCCCCTGTCACGTCATCCACAACACTGCCAAACAGGCTGGCCTGGGCGTTTTGGAGGTGAGTTGAATCATGTATGATTTCTATGACCAACCGTATCCGTTATGCCTAATGTCAAGTCTAACAGGTTGTTTGTTATGCTCTGGTGTCATGTGATTATAAATCATCATGTATTGCAGGTGTGTGGATTTGATCCAGAGGATCTGACTGTGGATGTGGGATACTGGTTTAAAGGAAGCACCAATCGTAAAGGTTACCTGACAGGTATTTGCAGTCCAAATGAAATGCAGAAGAGTTAGATTAAATTGAAATTAAGATGTTCCATTCTTGTCATAGAATTCTGTAAGCTCCATGGAAGCGAGTATTTAGAAATACTTATGCACGTTTCCATTCGATGGTTGAGCCTGGAGAGGTGTTTGACTCGTACCCTGCAGCAGTATGAACCACTGGCCAGCTACTTCAAGTCATCAGGTAGGCATTATATTTCAATGATCCAAATGAACGAACGATTATTATAACAGACTGAAAAGTAAATGTATGTAGTATGCACAACCTGTGTTTTTTTTATTCACAGATGAGAAACAACCAAGGTTCAGGAGGCTGTTGGAAGCATTCTCTAACCCAATGACAGAGGTGTACCTGCTGTTCTATCAAGCAACGTTGCCAGTCTTCTCCACCTTCAACCTCCTCCTCCAGAGAGAGAAGTCCTCCATCTTCCTTCTACATGATGAGGTAAATTGGGAAGGTTGGGATACAGTATGCTAGTAATAATGTACTATGTTTGTTCCTTTTTTCATTAGCACTCTACTTCTAGGTTAAATTTAATTTTGAAAATCTTTTCTGAAATACAAATTTGTAGATACGGAGTTTCATCCGCAAGTTGCTTTCAAAGTTTCTGAAGCCCGCAGCACTGCAGCACCAGGAACTGCATGAAATCCTCTATAAGGACCCATCAAACCAACTGCCAGGTAATCCTCCAAGTTTCACATCAGCAGATGCACATACACTTTCCACTCACTGATCTCACTCACATAGTACTGTTTGTGTTTGTTAGAGGGCAGCTTGTGCAGACAAGTTATGAGTTTGATAATCTCATCTCATCACACACGACCACAATGGAAACAAGTCCACAGGACTTTCCTATGTTATCCTTTTAGCCCAAATGAGTGACTGTACCTTGTGTCACTGATGTGATGAAGATACTTAAAGGGGTGCTTTCAAGTTAGCTATTGTGGTTGTTGATGATTGCTAAAGTGACTCAACACCGGTCTTATTCCCAGTCTCATACTGACATGTTGGTGTTGGGAATGAGAACATATTGCATCAATCTTTCTCCAGAATCGCATACAGCACCTTAATGAGGTGACGTTGTTGATTTATTGTGTCTTGTAGGAGAAAAGCTGGTGATCGGCTTCACTACTCGAGGTACACTCAACAGCAGTAGCGTGGCGTGGGGAAAAATGTAGGGGAAGCCCATTTTTTGGGTCGGGGGGCGGTCAATAACGTAACCAGATGAATGATTACAGCGCCCGGTATCATTTTACACACATTTGTATCACACAGATGCAGGACTTGCACACGCCTGTTATCTAACCGACAGGTCCGCACGCACTCTCCAGCTGAAACTCTCTTCTTATTAATTTAAGCATTTTACTTATTAATGTATGCAGACAATCACACAATCTATGTGATTTTTGGATTTACCGTGCCTCTCAATTGCCCGTGACAGGTTGGCAAGGTCGATGAATCCTGAAGTTGCCCAAGGATTGTTCAGGGAGCACGAATCCTTGTCAAAAAGAAGACATGGCCAGCCAAATAGACGCTGAAGTTTAGCGCTTCCAGTTAGCCACTCTGTGCGGACATAATTGTCCTCATTGAACGTCCGATTCTCTCCCTTTTTCCTCTGTGTACACACAGCTCGAGTGCGGGCATTGGCCTGTCATCTGATTTAATTTTCAGTTGCTGCTGTAGCGGAAGTTTAGTAAAGTTATGTTTGATTAAGTACGCCAAATCTCCACCCTCCATAATGCTTCATTTGCTTGATAATTTCTAACGGCGGTGATGACAGTTACAGTATTAAAACTGATGTTGATGTGATTTGATTGGATGGCAGTGTCCAATCAAATCGCCAGCCGCCAGCCGCCCCTGAAGGGAAGCTAGAGGCGGCTGGCTTCCCTTGGCATGGCCCTGACCAATCACAGGTTGGCAGGGGCATCACGTGGGCCTCATCTGATTGGTCAATCCCTCCATTTTTTTTCACCAAAGGAAGCCAGATTCGGCTGGCCTCCTCTCGCAACAGAGAGTGCAATCTACTGTTTCACCATAACATCTAGAGGGGCGCTGTTTCACTCTTTGTAAAGTACTCAATGAGAATGGGGGAGAGCCGGCCGGCAGCAACACACAGGAAAGGAGAATTATCGAAACAAAACAAAGTGTTTTTATTTATTTATTTAAATTATAACTACAATCCGAAAAAACAGGGGAAGCCTGGCTTCCCTTGGCCTCCGGGAGAAAACGCCACTGCTCAACAGGCTCCTTGATGCAGGAGACATTACACCGCAGCAAGTGCAGAGGTTCCAGCAGGCAGCAGTGGCGTTTCTGGTGAGGGCTGTGGAGTATGCCATGAAGAAACTCCCCATGAGAGAGCCCCTGATAAAACATGCCATGTTTCTGGATGTCCAGCAGAGGGTAGAGTGTGGAGTGGAAGACGCCTTGTACTTTGTCGACAGGTTAGTTGGGGTATCAAGTCAAGTACATTTATCTATAGTGCCAAATCACAACACAAGTTATCTCAATATACTTAATAAGTAGAGCAGGTTAAAGACTATTGGCACATTTTCTTAACATTTTCTTAATAGATTGTAAAGTTTAATGACCACATCTGAAAAACAACCCGTTTCAGCTACATTACTTTACCAGATCAGTGCACATTGTGTTCTTTTTAGGTTTCCTAAACTTCTCCCATACAATGGACCTGACGAGCGTGACAAACTGAGTGAGGAGTTTCTGGACTACCAGTCCATGGACATTGCCATGCCCGAAGACCCAGCCACGTTCGACATAGAGAACTTTTGGGGGAACATGGCATCAATGAAGAATAAGGTAAGAATTATTCTGCACCCTTTGAAATACCCATTGACGTAATCAACTTAATTCTATACAAAAATGCTTGAGAGTAATTAGGCTTCCTACATTTTTCAAAGGTGACCGGGATGAGTTGGTGTTGGTACTTCCGCATTCAAATGCTGATGCTGAACGAGTGTTCTCTGTGGTGGGACTGAACAAAACCAAAACCCGAAACAGTTTGGCTCTTGATGGAACTCTGTCATCCATCATGACTGTGAAGATGGCAAACCTTAAGCCACAGTGTTTCAAATGGGAGCCCCCTCCCTCTGTCATCAAGGCATCAAAATCGGCCACAAACACCTACAACATGAGACATGTCATGTAAAAGAAAAATATATAAACAAAGACATGCACTTTATTTTTTTATAATATATATTATATATATATTATTCTGGTTCTAATGTTGTTACACTTAAAGAAAAAAATGCACTAAAGGAAAAGGCTGCTATTGGTTCTTAAAAGGCTGCTATTGTTTCATTATATTGACATTTTATAAATAAATGTATTTTATTTGTTAAACTTTTTCTTGTTACAATTGTTTTCATTTCTACTTGTGCTGGTCAATTATTAACACTATATAAGCATGAGGAGGCCGACAGTGCAGGGAGAGCAGCTGGCATGGGGGTGAAGACATCACAACAGTCTTAATGTTAGTTTAAATTGAGATATTCCTCTAAATCGACGTTAAAAAAGGCCACAAAAAAATCGCCGTCGAACGCATCAACCCCAAAAGTCTCACTCCTACTTTTTACTGAAACTTGGCAGCCCTGTATATCGGACTATTGTGACTCGCTCTGCGGTTAAAACAGACGGTGCATGAATGCGGTTTTGCGGTAAGTGAAAATCGAGTACTTATTTATATGTCAATGATTTTAATCGGCTACGTAATGAATGTTAAGGCTTGGTTTAGTGTGTAAGCGAGTGGTAGCTACATCGGTGCTAACGATGCTAATCGTAGCCTCCAAGTTAAAATCATAGACTGTATAAGGTTAAAACGAAATAGACGTTAAGTGGAATAATACTGTTGAACAAACGGCTTCTGTTTGAGGTTGATAAAATAAGGTTATCCTTGTAACTTAGAGAGATATTTTGGAACTGTATGCATCGCTAAGGTTAATTTTAATTGGCTATGCTCAAGTATGTAGACAAGCTAACGTCGAAGTAGTGTATGTGAAATCAACCTCACAATAATATGTGTATATTACAATTATTAATGTCATATTTCAAGATGATTACTTAGATATTACAATATGGTTGGTTGAGCTGGAGTTCATTATTGAGCTTACACGTTAACGTCACAGTCATCTGAAGAACAAACCCAAACCTTGTTGTTTTTATTAATTGCATTACCAAATGGGTATCAAATAAACAGTAAGCATTGGTAACACAACTTCCAAAGTTACAGTAAAATAAAAAGGACCCTGACTCGGACAATACACAATCCAACATGTTCAACAGAAGAGAATAAGTTATATTGTTTGTACACATGGTACTTTACATATATCCGTTTGTTTAAGCCGCAGGGGTGCCCAACCAGTCGATCGCGATCGACCGGTCGATCGCGGGGAGATTCCCAGTCGATCGCGAGATGTGTCTAAAAATAGAACAACTATAATCTTCCTGTGCCAGAATAATGCACTTGAACGCATCAAAGCTTTGTGATTGGCCGGCGTGACCCCATGTGTCGGGGCGTGGCTGGTGGGCAGTGGGCACTATTTCGCTGACGTTGTCCGTGTCAACAGGAGTGACAGTCCGCACACACACAAGACCGCAATTATGGCAGAAGCAAAAGAGCCCAAAATATATAATTTTCACTCCGAGTGGGAGGATGATTATTTTTGTATCTATTCCAATTCAAAGTCCATCTGTCTCATCTGCAGTGCGAGCGTGGCTTTATCGAAGAAGGGTCATTTAGGAGCGGCATTTCAAAACAGTGCACAAACGCTACGAGACGGAATTCCCTCCTAATTCTGCCCTACGCTCCAAAAGGGGAGGGGCCTGAAAGGACAGCTAAATGCACAGCAGTCCATTTTCACCAGGCCCAACAACAAGAGCAAGGCTGCTACCAGAGCATCTTATCGTGTCAGTCACGTTCTTGCGAAACACATGAAGTCTTTCAAAGACGGCGAAGTTGTGAAAGAAGCATTCCTGGAGGCTGCGACGCGCTTTTTGGGGACAGTAAAAAATAACAGAAGCATTTCAACAGGTTTTTGATAGAATAAAAACTAAAGTTAGATACCGTTATTAATCAGCTGTAAGTTTGAACTTATTCATTATAATTATTGTACAAAATGGTATAAGAATGCAAACTTAAATTGATTATAGTCTATTATCAATTCAGGTTAAGAAGCTAGTGTTGCTTGCATCCTATTTTAAAGGCATTTATTTTGATAATCTACTAAAATGCAACAAAAAAAGGGTTTGATTCTATACATTTTTTAGATAATCTTTTTTTATTGCACTTTGGCAGCAGATTCCTGTGTAGCTTCAGGTCTGAGTTGTCTTATTAGTAAGCCTAATTTATACTTTTGTAGCAACACTATTTTTATATAATGGCAAAGAAAGGGTTCAGAGTCTTTTCTTTTTTCCCTGTGTCATATGTGGCAGCACTGTTCAATGTTTCTTAAACATTACCCACTGTGACGTGTGAATAAACTCCAACTCTGTATCAACAACACTGTTGTGTAACTTCAGTTGAATACTTGCATGTGTGTAGATTAGAAAGAGGTAAAAGAAAGGATCTGCAGTATTTTATGAAGTATTAATCGTACGAAGGTCAGTTTTATACAAGTAGAAGTGTGTATTTACCTGGTAGTTTACCTGGTCAGTAATGGCTACGCCTCTCTATTTGGACTGGTAGATCTCGGCAGACTGGCAACTTTAAAAGTAGCTCTCGGTTCAAAAAAGGTTGGGCACCACTGGTTTAAGGTGTCCAGGTGATGCAGACAGGCTGGACCAGAGAGTGAGAGACATAATTGGACTCCTCACAGCAGTGAACTTCAGCTCAGGTACAAAGACTCTATTTTTCATACTCTACAAAGAATCAAGAAAGATATTTGTTTAAATAAATGAAGTATTGACTTGAATACACTGATATACATTCCATTAAACAATACTAAATACTAGATCACCTACACATCAGTTAAGTTGAGGGGTTTTTCCATGCAAAAAGTTACATTTTAGATATTTAGCAATATGACTTTGTCAGCTTTCTAATTTAATGTGTTGAAGGCAAAGATATTTAACACATAGTGAGAACTGCTACTATTTATCTCTCAATATTGTCTGTAAAAAATGTGGTAAAAGTTATTCTTTGAGTGAGACAACAGAGCAAGCTTCTACAGTTGCACTACGTTTTGATAACAGTTAAATATTATTTTGATAATAACATATATTTCAATGTTGATGAACTTCATACTGTTCATTCATAATCTGATTGTCTTTGTAGCTCACTGTTGAAATAAAAAAAAAACATTACAAAATAAATATATCTACAGCCCCTAAACACACAAACACACCGCTTTCATAAATAACACACTTGTTCTGCAATAATATGTTTTATGTTTTCTGTCATTTTTGTTAGGAAAGGACATGCCTGAAAGACACGACATTTTCTCCTTCTCTGAGGGTCAAGAAAAACATCCAAGAGGAACATTAAAAGCTGATGTTATGAGATTTTAAGACCAGTACAGGACATTCACTAAGAAACTACTTTTATTGTGATCACAGTCAGCTGATCGAATGCATCTATTTCCACATCTACACTCCATCAGCTGATTATTTCTATTTGCCTCACTTTATGAGCTTCACATCACTTGTGCCTTGTACCGCAGAGTTTGCAACGTCACAAATAAATGGGGTCAATCTTCAGTCAGATGTGAATGTGTAATCTAACATTTTCAGTAAGAATAATGGACGAAAGGAGTGCAAATACAATTTATTGAAATGTGAACCAAAAGTAAATCAAATGTTTTAAATAAAAAGCACATATGGACAGAAGGTGTAAACCTATTAAATGTATAAGTAAACACATTTAGTCAAATAACGTGACAGACTAGGCCTGTGCAGTTGGTATCAGCTATGCCCAGCATGGGCTCCTCCATCAGGCCTGGTCTTCCTTGCTGAGGAAAGACCCTCAGTCCTCTCCACACCAACAGACTGGACGTCCATCACACGGAGGTTTCTCCCTGAAGTCTCTGCAGCTCTCTGGACACCAGGCTGTCTCAATCCGTCCACACTGAATATGAGAGGGGAAAAATGAAAATAATAAATGCTTTAGACAATAAGAAATATAAAGTTGAGTTGCTCAGTTTTTTTAGATTGTCAATACTATTACTGTATAACTAATATCTCAGGTTAAGAGGCACATTCAAATAAAGATTGGTCTTTAAATACATGTTGTCTTTTGAATTGTTTGTCTAAAGTCAAGGGTCTGGTACTGGTACTTAGTTTTAATGATACAGTCTGGTTATTATGCTGTTTGGAGGAGGCCTCACAGGTAAGAGCACTAACTAGCTACCATCACATGTACCTTAGCTTGACTTAAATGTATTAAACGTATAATTAAGTGATATCAAAATATAAATAACTAATGTCATGCAAACATATTAATATTTGCTTGATTCCAGTGTTGAATTTAGCACAATTGCATACAAACGTTAAGATTCTGAAGTATTATGCTAAAAACTCAATAACTTAGATTATTATTTATAGTTTTGCTGAATAGTTTCATGTCCGCTTACCTTAGAAACGTAAAATGCGACGGCAGTGTGCAGATGGGGAGCATGTTAGCTTAGCTTGGTAGCTTCAGCTAGCTCTGGAGCTTCCAGCTCGGTGGCAGCAGGTCCCGCCTCTTTGCCCTTATTTGGAGCAGGCGGGAGTTGAAATCTGACGTCACTGTCGAGCCGTTAGTGGCCGACTCCGCCTACTAAGGGCTTCTCGGCAACTCTGCAGAATCCTATGGGTGACGTCACAGACCCTACGTCCATTTATATATACAGTCTATGGTTCAAATGGATAGGATACTAAATACATTTGCACACATCTTGTGTCCATATCTTTCTGTTTTGGTGGTCATGCCACAACCGTGCACGTGCATGCATGCGCGAGTCATAGTGAGTGTCTGCATTTTGGGGAGGGGGGGCGCCAACTAAAA